TTCCACGAGGGTGAGTGGTGGAGTTGGGTTTGTGTTTTCTGACCTCAGTGTCCAAATGCCTCCTCAGCACATCCCACGTGTCCTCCTGTGGGCATCACTCTGGGCACACCTCGCCCCAGCTGGCTCCCCTTCCCTATGGTCTGCGCTCCCTGCCTTCCTCCCCAGTCAGCCCTGTTCTTATAGTTGATATCCCTGTTCCGAAACCTTGGTGGCGTCGGGTGTTGAACTCAGCATCAAATGCAGTGTCAAAGCTCCTTCAGCCCTGTTGCCTTTACCTTCAGAATATACCTGGAATGGGCTGCAGACACCTGTCCTGTTCCCTGGTCTGAGCCACTGTCCCTTCCTACCTGCCCTCTACCCCTCTGTCACTGTTCAACCCAGAGTCAGAATGGTTCTGTTTAAAACCTGATCACCTCATGGCCTAAATTCTTCCAGGAGTTCTCTGCCTCAGATTGAAGCCACAGTGCCCCGCCGAAGCCTGCCAGCTCTGTTTCCTCCTGCCTGTCTTAGTGACCTGTCCTCCTCAACCCTGTGCAGTCAGACTCTGTCCATGGGCTGCTGAACTTGCTCCTCTCTCTCCTGGGTATTCACCCCAGGTGTCCATGGGCTTGTTCTTTGTTAGGAGCCACTTTCCAGATATGGCCAGTGCCCACCTGTGTCCTGCACTCCCTGCTTCTTTTACTGTGCAGCTCTTGGTGACATCTGGCATGCTGTATGTTTACCTGCTTCTTCATTATAATCTCTCTCTCTCCACTGCTATCCACCACGGGACGGACTTTGTCTTGTCCACACTCTGTCTTCAGCACCTGGAGTGGTGCTTGGTGCATTTTAGATGCCCACTAGTGCTTGTTTTCTAGATGAGAGAACAAGTAGATGACGGGTGCAGGACTCTGATCTCAGTGAGCCTTCCAGCCTGCGTTTGGCATTAGGCAAGTGGGTTGGTTTGGTGTGAGCCCCACTTTTTGTGGATAAAGAGTACTTGTGTCCCTAGGGATTTCTGAGAGTTGGTAATTGACAGTTTGCCTTGTGCTGAAGTGATTGATATCCTAGTCTCAAGCTGACCATTTACCTAGTAGGTCTCCGTAGAAGCTTTGTAAGATTAACATACAAGCATCACTTGAGTTCCGTAGTCTGGGAGAGATAATGGAGCACTTCTTCAGAAAGCATGTGTTCATTTAACCCTTCCTTCTCCAATAGTGTATAACGACAGCTGAGGGTCCATTGTTATAGAACCACTTCTACTATTCTTGTTCTTTGTAGGGAAACGTGTAAATATTTTTAAATTTTTTTACAGCCTTTCCTCCTTTTTGTTTTGGAAAGTCTGGAGTTTCAAAATTCTGTACCTCATGAGTATTTTAATTTATATTAGCTGAAACTGTTCCATTAGTTTATTTATTTGACTAGTTAGATTCCATGTTTTCCTACATTCCTAGCAGAGTCTCCCTGGAAGAAAATTTCTATAATACTATTTAAATACAGTGATGCTGTGATACACAGAAGGAAGAGGAAGTCCCACTGACTCTTCCTTGGCGGGTCCTGGAGCCCTCTGCTCCCCTGCCTGCCCTCCAGCTCCCAGCCTCCCCCTGGGAAACAGGCGTGGTTATCTCAGACTTTCCTGGGACCTGGGAGGGGAACATGTCAAGAGTTCCTTTCTACACAAATCCAGTGGAGAGTTAAAAGTATCAGTAAAGGTGAGAATGAAATAATTGGGAGAGTCGCTCTGATTGTCCTGAAAAAGATATTTGGGAACATATTTGCTGTTGAAATCTGCAGCTTGCTTCTGTGGCTAGTGGTGTTGGTTTTACTGGGGGGGGTGCCTCTCTGTCCAGCAGCGTCTGCTGACAGGGTGAGGTCCGCACATTCCCTTGGCTCTGTTCTGCCTCCCCGCAGTGCCTGTGCTGGGCTGCAGTCATCTGTCTGTTTACCTGCCGCTTGCTTCTTAACTCTTCTTAGACCTTTTATCCCACACTGACTTTCCCTTTGTAGTCACTCTATGATAATTTTACCTTCTGTTCTTTTCTTAAATTCACCATTGCCCTGAAGATAGGTTGGGCCAGAGGCAGTTGTGAGACCCTGGGTTGAATCCTCAGCACCACATTAAAAAAAAAAAGATATTGTGTCTATCTTTATCTTTAAAAAATAAATAATTAATTAATTAAAAACAAAGGGAATGTTTGGGGCTGATGATCACCAGTAAAGGAAACAGAAACAACTATGAGACAGTTTCATAAACCAGGCAGTACTTTGTGTATCAGGTGCCAATTTCTGAAGGCACAAAGATAAGGCAGCGTTCCTGCTATTGAATAGTTCATGGGTATTTTTGTGGTGACAGAGAAGTAAACAGTCTTATTTTAGTATGACAAATGCTTTCAGTGGTGACAGTGGACAGATGGAGAGAAGTGTCACTGCCTGTAGGAGACACCTCTTGGGTAGACACCTAGCAGGGTCACTTCATTTTGTGTCTTTACAGTATTCCTGTCTGGTACCAGGCTGAACTGTGTGTTGGAGGTTCAGTATGGAGGGCGTTGGGCTTCCCTGCTTCATGGGCTTCTAAAGAGAGAGATTGCTGGGCACAGTGGAGCACCCTGTAATCCCAGCTACTTGGGAGGCTGAGATAGGAGGATTGCAAGTTCAAAGCCAGCCCAGCAATTGAGCGAGACTCTGACTCAAAATTTCAAAAAAGGACTGGAGATGTGACTTGGTGGTAGAGCACCTCTGGGTTCAGTCCCCAGTATCACCACCAAAAAAAAAAAAAGAAGAAGAAGAAGGGAGACACTTTAAAAATAACCATTGTAATTTAATGAATATAAGAACTGCAAATATGAGAAACACCTTGAAAGAAACAGACAAGAAGCTGAGATGAGGTGGAATGTGTGAGTGTGGTTATCTGTGCTGCTGATGATTTGGAGTGTCTGAGTGTGGGCATCTGTGCAGCGGAGCTGTTTGACATAGGGCCTCTTGGACAGAGAGTAACTTTCAGGCTGAGACTTGAAGGAGGGGCTGTAGGTCTTTTTGCATCACAGCTCCAGAAGAGTAACCCACATGCACCCATGAGCCAACTCTTCTCCCAGCTGAGCATGACATCCTGAGGTTCTGCATCCCTTGCATCTGGTGAAATAGAAGTTGCATGAAGGTGCAGAGTGTGGGTGGGGACAGTGTGGGCAAGTATTCAGAAAGCATTTTGAACATCTTATATATGATACCTGGAAGCTTACCATGTCACTGAGTTGATTAAATTTAATAATTATCAGTTAATTATGTTTTAAGGTGACTTGAGGATTAGACTTTAGAACTGAAATGGCTTTCATAATTTACTGGTAGGATAAACTAAGAAGAGAATTAGGCAGGGTGAGAAAAATGGTACTTTTTTCCCAGGGGAATGGAAGAGGTAGAGCAGGTTTATGGTCCTTAAGATCATGAAGGATGCTCTCTCTCTTTTTTTTTTTAATTTATTTTTTAGTTGTAGGTGGACACAATACCTTTATTTCATTTTTATGTGGTGCTGAGGACTGAACCCAGCGCCTCACCTACACTAGGCGAGCACTGTACCCCTGAGCCACAACCCCGGCCCCATGAAGGATGGTCTTCGAAGCCTAGAGGGCATGAGTCTGCTCTCCAAGCAGAGGGGGATTAGGCTGACTGAGGAATGATTTCTTGGGAATGTGTGGTCTAAACACAGGTCCCCTCCCTTAAGTCTTGGAGTTTCTTCCACCCTGGCCTGTCAGGTGTGGAGGAGGAGCCCACGTGCTCACGGGCCATGTTCCCGTCTGCTTTCTAGAGTGGAAGTGTTGGAAACAGGCCCTCAGACTGTGGGCCGACATTGGGAGACATAGTGTAACTAGTGTCCTGTCTTGACACGTTGAGAGACACCGATTGTTTGCCAAAGGTGGCCATTGGCACTGCACGACTGTGCTGTGAGCAGAGAGGTGGTGGGGGAAACAGACTCCTCCTGGTGGGGTCAGCTCCCTGCCCCTCCTGCCTAGTGCAGGTGAGTCTCTGCCAGGAGGGTGCAGTGAGACGTTCTGCTCCAGGCACACAGAGTACATGTGTTGCCTCCAAGCAAATGAATTTCATGCCTTTTGTTTTTGCAGTTTCCCAAATTAAATTAACCTAACCTAAGGTAACTATGTCTGCAGTACCAGGGGTAGAACCCAGCCGCCTGCTTGCTGGGCAAGCACTCCACCCCTGAACCACACCCACATTCCTATGTGCTTCCTGTGTAGCTCATTTTTTTCCTTTCCAAATTATCCATTTAATTAGAACACTTTTTAAAAATGGGGGAAGTGTTGCCATTGTCTTGCTTGCAACTTGATTTTGAAGTCCTCTTTTCCTTCAAATAAGGCTCAGCTGCTGTGCCTGGCCTGCCCTGCGTGGTGGCTGACATGCACTGCTTTGAGATCAGGGAAGTTGCAGCAGTCCCTGTTCTCCTTTCCTCCTCCCTGTGCTGTTGCCCTCACCTCTCCCACTTCTCACCCAGACGCCCTTATCTCCCACCCCTTCCCCTTTCCCAGGCAGTCATATCCTACCTTCCCCCACCCGGGGCTGGAGGCAGCAGCTGGCAGTGTGTGTTGAAGGAGGTGCTGGGTCACAAGAGGCCAGGTGTGTGACCTCTGGACCTCCTTTTCTGGGGCATGAAATGAAGAGATAGGACCTGATCACTGGCTCACAGAAGACCCCTGGTCTTTTTTTTTTTTTTAATTTTTTTTTTTTTTTTAAAGAGAGAGAGAGAGAGAGAATTTTAATATTTATTTTTTAGTTTTCGGCGGACACAACATCTTTTGTTTGTATGTGGTGCTGAGGTTCGAACCCGGGCCGCACGCATGCCAGGCGAGCGCGCTACCACTTGAAACACATCCCCAGCCCCGACCCCTGGTCTTGAAATCCCATTTATGGTAGAAATGTCATCATTTTGTAGTCCCCTAAGAGGAATGAACTCTCTTTACATGCCTTTAGTGCTTTGACTTTCCTCATTTAAACCTCCTGCCTTTTGTCTGTTGTAGCCCGATGATGATCATCACTCAGAAGATCACCAGTTTGGCTTATGAAATTCATGATGGTAAGAATTCTGAAGTTAATTCTTCATTTCTGAATATAGTCCCATTCAAATAATCTTTTGCTTGAGATACTACCACAGTTCTCTGCTCCCCGCAGAGTGCCAGGACAGCATAGGGTGAGGTGGGGGTTTGACGGGGCTTGGGCTGCCCGAGCAGGCTTGCTGCCCTGGTGGCTTCTTTGTTCTGCTTTGTTGGCTTGTTTGCAGTCCTGCTGTTGGAACTTGGAGCCTTGCAGATGCCGGGCAAGTGCTGTACCCTAGAGCTACATCCCAACCCTACCTTGATTTTTTTTTAAAAATATTTATTTTTTAGATGTATGTGGTCACACAATATCTTTATTTCATTTTTATGTGGTGCTAAGGATTGAACCCAGTGCCTCACGTGTGCTAGGCGAGCGCTCTACCACTGAGCCACACCCCCCAGCCCCCTACCCTGATTTTTAATTCAGTTCAGCAACAAAAAGTGAAGTAGCAGATCCAATCATTTGGCCCACATTAGTGACAATTTAAAATACAAAGGAAAGAGACTTTGGTTCTAAATCTACTTTCATTTCTGTTTCATCTCTGCCTTGAATTTATATTAAAATTTTTATGTTTTCCTACCCCTCCCTTTATATTTACAATGCATAGGTACATATTTACATACACTTTTAGGGTAAGCATTTATATATTTTATTTCAAATGGACGTGTAACCATAGGAAATGATAGCAGTTAGAACTCTGAATCACAGAATTTAGGCTCTGGTTTCTTTGGAGATGGAAGAGTGATCCCTGGAGCCCCGTGTGCCCCCTCCACCCAGCCTGTGCCCACTGCAGCCAGAATGCACTGTACAGTTAGGGACCAGCCTTGACAAAGCTGTGAAGAGAGGGAGGGTGTTCCTCTTCTACCCTTTGGCTACTGACAAGCAGAATCAAACGACTTAGCTTTTTGGAGGAATAGAGGGAGAGAATAGATGACTTTCAAGGAGTCTCAAATACTTGTTTAATCAGATGTGTGTATTGAACAGCAACTCAACGTCTGTCCTTCTGATGTGGAGATCTGAGGCAGGGAGAGGCAGAACTGGCATCTGAGTCTCTGTGGGGTGGTGGCAGCTGAGACAGAGATGGCCTCTGAGGGCGGCACATTCCTGTTTCAGGTTTCTCATATGTAAAGTCATAGTTCGAGATCCCCTTTGGAGGATCTTTTCAAGGGATAATAGCTGATTTATATTGTCTCACGGGTTCATGTCCTCAACAGTGAAGTGGGTAGTGCTCTCCAGACAGGGTACTAAACCAGTCATGAAACTTTAAGTTATCTTTGGGTGCTGAGACTTCCACATCCTGATGATGTCAAATCATGCCCAGGACTCTGGGAGGAAAATGTAGGAAAGTCAGGATCAGGGATCTGATTTTATTGGTTTAGAAGCACATGAGAATATATATTCAACTCAGAGCTTTAAAAAAAAAAAAAAAAAAGCAGCAGAACTTCATTTCCTGACCTGTTCTTTTAGTTATTTCTTTGGAGCAGTTTAGATTTTGTTTAGCCTTGGCAATAGTTGAAGAGTTTAGACTTCAAAATGGTGCCCCTGCAATCTGCCTCAGTCCATTCTCCTGGTCTCCTAGGCTGGCCCTGCTGCATCCATACCCTGCCACTTGATGCTCACGGGGCAGAGGGTTGGCCCTCTGGCCTGTTTCCCCAGCAGTCTTACAAAGGAGGGCCTCCTCATCTGTGTGTTGGGGACACCAAGCCCATTCAACTCACCGTGTCATTGAATTCATGTCTCATACTTGCTACAGTGAGGATTCCAGGCAAAGTTGATCAGAATCAAAAGGACTTGTAGTGTGGTCTGGAGGAAAACAGGCTCAGGTTTCCAGGAGTCCCCAGTGCAGTTCCAGAGGATGTGCTGGATCCCCCAGCAGCAAGTCACAGCAAGGCCTGAGAAGTGTGGCCTGCCGGGGAGTTCGCTAGGACTCGGCACCCAAGGCTTTTAGGGACCAGTCACATAGGCACCCAGAGGGCAAGCAGGACTTCACAGTAAGTAATATTGTTGGCACAAACTGTCCAGATATGAGGAGCATTGGTCTGTTCTTTTATTCTTTTGGAACCGGGAATTGAACCCAGGGGCACTTTGCTACTGAGCCATATCCCCAGACTTTTTAAAATTTTTTTGAGACAAGGTCTTGCTAAGTTTCTTAGAGCCTCAACAGCAGACTGGTCTCAAACTTGTGATCCTTCTGCTTCAGCCTGGGATTACAGGCATGTGCCACTGCATCTGGCATAAGAGAGCATTTATATTGGTAGGGACATTTTGCCAACTCAGTGAGCCCTAGGTCCATCTTCTTACCAGTAGGCCTTTCTGAGCACTGCAGGCTCAGCAGGTGGGGCCTTTCTCTGAGTCTCTGGTCTTTTTTCAGAGGCCACCCTGGGGCAGTGCTCACACAGGCAGCCTCAGGAAGCAGGTGCTCTTTGGTCTCGGAAACTGCTAGACGTGATTTTCAGACATCTCGTCACCCTCACAGGATTGGTGATGAGATGAGATTTTTTATTTGTATTCTTTCTCCCTCCCTCTCTTTCATTCTGGTTTTGAAGTATGCGTATGGCATTGCTGAGGCCTCAGGTAGATGAGGTCCTGAAGATGTGCTTGTTGCCTGGCTGCGGGAGTGTGTGGCATGTTTTCTCTGGCGCCTCCCAGGAGGACCGTGCAGTGTTGCTGGGGCCTGTGCCTGGCGTGGGAAGGTGGGGAGCCTTGTTTCCTATCAGATGCAGGCTGCATGACTTGTACTAGGTTGGATTTCTGGCTTTAAAAACTAGCATCTTGTCTTTAATCTGTTTTTGGTCATTCTATTTAAGTGCCCCATTTGTGAACTGAGAAGGGAGGCTCAATTCCTTGTACAGGGAAACACAAAACACAGAACGGGTCTAAGAGAATCTCCTTTAAGCCCATTTCTACTTTCCTTGGCTCATTTGCTACTCTAAAATGATAGTGGCCTCCCCGGTCAGGATAGCAAATCAAATGGACACAGAAGCCCACGACACCAAAGGCGTGGAAATGCTGACAAAACAGCACAAATATGACATGGAGCATGGCTTGGCTTCCCAAACGGGGCTGTTACCGTGGCCCCTTCCTGGTAAAAGGAGCAATGTCCCTGCCCACAGAATGGTAAGGAGCTTTTCTAAAAAATACTGATCCTCATTTCCAGAGAGAGCCCTTGGTTTCTTTTTGTTTTTAAGAAAATGGTAGACAGGGGCTGGGGTTGTGGCTCAGTGGTGGAGCGCTTGCCTGGCATGTGTGAAGCTCAGGGTTTGATCCTCAGCACCACATAAAAGTAAATAAATAGAGATATTGTGTACACTATAACTAAAAAATATAGAGACTATTAACAAAGAAAAAAAAGAAAAGAAAAGAAAGTGATGGACAGCAGTGTTTCTGACCTGGGGAAGAAAGCAGAGTTTAAAGTCCCAGAAGTCTTCCTTGGCTTCTTCCGGACCACTGTTCACCTTTCTCTGGTCTACAGTTTTAAGGTTTTTTCCTTCTGATTACAAAATGTAGGTATATATTCACTGAAGGAAATTTGAAAATGCAAATTAAGTCCAAAGAAAAAAATAATGATCCTTTGTGTCTGTCTGCCAGAGCTCTTCAGAGCCAGAGCTGCTTTGTACTAATGTTTCCTTTGTGTTCTTAGGAAGCCTGGTTCTCTTTAAAATATTTTTGTTGTTGTAGTTGGACACAGTACCTTTATTTAATTTATTATTATTTATCTGTGGTGTTGAGGATCGAACCCAGTGCCTCGTATGTGCTAAGCGAGCACTACCTCTGAGCCACAACCCCAGGCCCTAGTTTTCTTTTTATATAATTATCAAAAATAAATGTGGGGGCTGGGGTTGTGGCTCAGCTGTAAAGTGCTCGCTTGGCATATGCAAGGCCCTGGGTTCAATCTTCAGCACCACATAAAATAAATAAATAAAATAAAGGTATTGTCAACTACAACTAAAAAATATTAAAAAAAAAAAAAAAGTAAATGTGCAGTTATTTGCCCGTTCCCTAATTGTTGTATACATAGGTAGTTTCTTTTTTTTTTTTTTCCCCTATTATGTACAAGGCTGTGATGATCCATAGTGCATTTCAAATCACACCTTTGTGTCATTTCCTTACATTAGAGTCCTGGTGCTTTTTTCCATTGGTGGAGAGGAAGATGACATGGGTTTTTCTTAGTAGTCCATTTATTTTTTATTTGTATTCTTTCTCCCTACCAGAATATAAGTGCTGCAACACTTATATTCTATTTTCCTCTGCTTCCAGTGCCTAGGATAGTTCCTAGGCATTTTAGGTTCCTAGGCCATAGGATAGTTCCTGTGGCATTTTAAGACTAACAATTTTCTTCTTATCTTTGTTTTGTATACACACATAATAATATTAAAATGTATTACATAATTGAGATCATGTTATATGATCACATTTTCATTGTTAATGAAATTGCAAATCTGTCATCATCATTAATCATAAAGGTAGCATTTTATACATTAACTGAATGCTGGTTTCTTGTATGGTTTGTTTTTCATGTTTTCCTGTCCGCCTTAATGTGTTTTGGTTGGTTTGGTTTTGATTCTTAAGGGTATGTTAACACTGTATCATATTTGCTGTAAATATTTCCTAAGTCTGTTATTTGCTTCTTAATTTAGTCCCCTTTTGGTCTTTAGATTGGATTTAGGGTATATATATTTTAAAGGATATAGATCTAGTAAACTGATATGTAGCCATAGAAATAACTTCCTATTTGGGAAGAAATATATTTGAATACAATTTTGATTTGAGTTTCTGTTCATTGGAGTCATGTGGGGTAAGGAAATTATTCCTTGCTTTATGTTGAGATTCTACTTTGTAGCACAGATGTTTAGTGATTTAAATCATCCAACAATCAAAAAAAATTAAGGCTGCTTTTTTGAAAAGTCATAGCGTTTACTGTTAAGAATAATACATTTGTAAGTTTAAAACAGTAGCAGCATGGGGCTGGGCCTGGGGCTCAGCAGGAGCACACTTGCCTGGCATGTTTGAGGCACTAGGTTCGATTCTCAGCACCGCATGTAAATAAATAAAATAAAGGTCTGTCAACAACTAAAAATTTTTTTTTGTTGTTTAAAAAGTACTAGCATATCGGAATTTTTAAAATTTAACAAGTTTCCTTTAGACAGCAGTCATGTTAGTGGCTTTGTTTGTGTGCTGTTTATCTTATACAGACCTGGGTGTGTTAGACTGCATGATGGTCCTTTCACATGTTTCAAACTGTTGCCATGAGAGAGAAAGGGACAGTTGTTGAGAATATAGCATGAATTTCAGGTGATGTAAGCATGAATGGGGAAAAATGCCCTCTTGGGAGAATTCATAATTGATCAAATTACCTTTGTTTGTTTCTCAGGGATGGTTCGAAAGGATGAAGAACTGACTCCATCACAGAGGGGCTTGGCTGTAAGGTTTGTGCCTTTGTATTATGTCCTGCCAGGTTCGCGGACCACCTCTGCCTAGAATATGCATTACTTGTGCGGCCAAGGCTTCTTGGTCTTTCTAGAGTTATCTGGTTCAGGCAAGCCCAGGCTGCTTCCCTCTCCTACCTCCCTGCCACTACACATTGCCATGTGAGACTAGCTCCCCTAGACCCTTGCCCCCGGGTATTCATAGAGTACACAGCTCCTGTGGACCAGGAGGCCGTCTGCTAAGTTTTTCTCCCTGGGACTCTTGAGTTCCTTTAATGCGGATGAGATAGTATGTCTCCCACGTAGTAATTATTAGTAGTAGTCGTAGCCACCATTCGTAGACCAGTAACTTGATAGCAGGCATTGGCCAAGACAGAATATATCAATATAACACACAGATGCCACATTTTGAAAAAATGAAGGACCATTCAGATATTGCTTATTGTTAACTTGAGGCATTAATTCTGGCATAGGCTGCTTCTTCATTTGTTACCAATATTCTGTCGCATAATCTAAAGAATAGCTTAATGTCTGGCAAGGTCTGTCTCAACTAATATAGTTAGAGATCAGATACTCATTTTACTTAAAGAAAAATTTCCTATAGAATACTTATTCCTGAGTCTTCAGCTGGTAAGTACACATCTACTAGCAGAATGAGATGACGTTTGTGACAGGAGACAGACCTGTAACAGATGTTCCCCTTGGATCCCAAGGAGCATGCCTTTAAAAAATGTTCTGTTTTATAGATAAAGAAATTGTGGTATATATGTATATGTATATGTATATATATATACACACACACATATATATATATATACACACACACATATATATATATACACACACACATACATACATACATACATACATACATACACATTGGAATGTTACTCAGCCTTAAAGAAGAATGAAATTATGGCATTTGCTGTTAAGTGGGTAGAACTGGAAAATATTGTGCTATGCGAAATAAGACAGTCCCAAAGAACCAAAGACCGAAAGTTTTCTCTGATATGTGGATACTAATTCACAATAAGGGTCAGGGGCTAGGGAAGAATTGAGGTAATTTGGATTAGACAGAGGGGAATGAAGGAAGGAGAGGGGGCTGGGGCGTAGGAACGATAGTAGAATGAATCGGACATTATTACCCTATGTACATATGACTGCATGTAGACCTGTGTAACACTACGTCATATACAACCAGAGAATGAGAGGTTGTATTCCATTTATGGATGTTGTGTCAAAATGCAAATTCTTCAAAATTAAAACCCCCCTCCCAAAAAGGAAAAAAAATCAGCATTTAAAAAAAAAAAGTGTTTTATTCTGATATTCTCTGTCTTGTTACCAGTACCCAGCTCCTCGGGGGCACTGACTGATGAGGATTAATTGGATCTGGTTCTCCAGCCTTTCTGAGTTCCTGATCCAGCACCCTGTGCTCTGTTTCCCCTTTCCCTCTTGAATAGCCACCTGACGGATCCCCAGACCTGGTTCAATTCAGCTCTCCCCCTGCCTGAACAGTGGAGGGAGCTGGGGGAAGACCCTGGCTGTGGCTGTTTTGGTTTTGAATCTGTCACGGGCTGTCAGTGCCATCCTTGGTTTCCACAGCTCTCCCTCTCTTGTGACATTACATAGTCTCCTTTCTCCCAGACTCCCCAAACTTTATTTTTTGGAGAAAATAAAAGCAACTCTACTTTATTCTACGATCCCAGAGCCTATTAGGTGGGCTGGGAACGTGGCTCAGCAGAACTGTGGACCTGCACGGGTGGGGACCCATCCTTAGCACCACAAAAACACAAAGCAAAAGAAAGTGCCCCTCAGAACCGCCTGAGATCTGAAAAGAAATTCTCTACTTTCTTTCCTCGAGCCAGGAATTAACTGTCTGTAATCCACTGTTCACTTCCACACTGACTCTGCCCCGTTCCTCCTTTTTTCTCCCCCTCCGTGTGGATCATTCCCACCAGCCTAAGGGAAGAGGCTGGCTTCAGGGTGTTCTTGTTTACATCCCCCCACCCCCTTTCTCTCACCTGCCCCTCCAGTCAGGTTTTTGTCCCCGTTCTTTCCACGTTGCTCATAGTCTTAGCAAATTTCACTGTTAGCTTGTTTTTTGAGGTGCTCAACCATTTGGTGGTAGTTGCCTGCTGACCCCTGACTTTGAGAAGCCCTCCTTGCCAACCTTCCAGGATACTGCATCATGTGATTTTCCTCTTCCATCTCTGTCCCTTCATCTCCTGCACTGTTGGTGTGCTCCACGACTCAGGCCAGATATCTCATGTTTTTCCAGGTGCTCACCTGCAGCCCAGTTCCTCTGCGTACCACCTACATGTTGCTGTCTCTCCTGAGCCCCGGCCTCATTATCAGTGTCGCTGCACTGACAGTGATAGCCGTGTTCAGCACAGAACTCTGGTCTGTCTCTCTTCCTTCCCCCACTCCTGTTTCTCACCATTGTTGCCTTGTAGTTAATTACAGTGCCCGCCATCACTGGTGCCTTCGGGGGGGATTTTCTTAGTATAAATCCACTTTACCAGTGAGTCAAGGTCCTTTCGACTTGATATCCTCCTGCCTCTTGAACCTGACCATGGCTCACCATTCCCACTGCTCTCAGCTCTGCCCAGACACTCATTTTCTACTTGGCAGGTTTTCTAACTTAGTCTCCCTATTTCCCTAACTTAGTCTTTCTATTTTCTTTTCTGTCCTTTGTAGCTTCCTTTCCACTTAGCAGCCAGAGAGTCTTTATGTGCTTTGGGTTATATTATTGCCTTTCCTGATGAAAACCTCCAATGGTTTCCCATGTAATTTAGAATAAAATTTCAGACATCTGACCACAACACATAAGGCCCAATAGGAACCCAGAGCACTACCACATTTCTTTTTTTTTTTTTTTTTTCCTCCTTTCCTGGTATTGCAGTTTGAACCCAGGGCCTTGCCCTTGCTAGGCAGGTGCTCTCCCAACTGAGCTACATCCCTAGCCCTGTTTATATTTTTTATTTTGAGACAGCTTCATTCTAGGTTGCTAAATCTGGCCCCAACCTGATATCCTCCTGCCTCACCCTCCCAGGTCACTGGGACGACAGGTGTGTACTACCATGCCTGACTTCAGTGCACTCTTACCTCTACAGACCACCCTATCAAAAATTCCTTCCCTACCCTCCTTTCACTTTCTAGCCCCTGGTATGTCCTTGATTTTCTTCCTAATATGTATTACTGTCAAATTTTACACAGCATTATTTAATTGTCACACTCCCTCTCCCCCAAACATAAAGTCATTAAGGACATGAACTTTGGTTTGTCAGTCATCTGAAAACCTATCACCTAAGTAGTGATTTACTAATTAAAGTGATTCTTCCTTCAGAGACATTTGACAAGGTCAAGAGGCATTTTGGATTGTCTCAACTGGTGGGTGGTGTTACTGATATCATATGGGTACGGGCCAGGGATGCTGTCAGACGTTCTTTGTGCACAGGACAGTCCCCACAATAAGGAATTATTGCCAAAAAATGTGTGTAATTCTAGGGCTGAGAAATCTTAACGTAAGACCACGCATAGCTGGTATCACGTCAGCATTGATGGAATGAAAGAATGAGTACTTGATTTTGTATCATAAAGAAGTATCACAGTCGGGCTTCAGTTCTCATTTTAATAGCAGAGGTTATGTCAGTGCACAAAACTACTCATTCAATATGACAATTGAGTGGGAATCACTTCAGCAAGTTTCCTGGTTAAGCGTTTCTCCTGTCCTTGTGCATTGCAAGACAGTACTTTGACTTGGTGAGATTGAGCCGTGCTGGGTCAGCCTGACCCAGGTTTGGGTCTAAAAGAATTGATGCTAAGAGTGGAGCTGTGCAGCCGGGGGACATGGAGTGTCTATGTTCCTCAGAGATTGCAGGTGCCTGTCCAGTGTTTGGTGCGGTGGGAAAGTGTTTTGTGTCAGTATTATGCAGGACAAGCCAATGGCGAATGCTAGAAACATTCTCACCCATCAGCTTTGAGCTCAAAGGGGAAAATATTTAAGATTCCAAATACTTAAATGTACAACAATAATTCTGAAAAAATTATAAAAGGAGTTTTGGCTGTTCATCTAAACAGTGTCAAAGGGCAGGATGTAGTGTGTTGTTCTATAGGTTAGTTTTACATAAAAATAATACACACACACACACACACACACACACACTCTCTCTCTGTCTCTCGTTGTCCAGAGTGTGTTTTTAAGAGCGATCATGTCTCATTTAGAGAAAAGATTATAGCTTGTTCAAGAACACTGTTCACTGCCCCCAGGTTCTTCTTTTATCTGTGATGGTTTGTAACTAGCAGCAAACAGTAGACTTGCTTAGTAGAACTTGTGTTAAGAAATAAACACATATGCCCCTTACTCATTTATATGATAACGTGTAGTCTGTAGTTGTCTGTATTGAGCACTCACTTTTACCCTGCTGTTTGCATTGAGAACCAGGATGCTTGGTATACTTTGGATATCACATGCCATTTGGATAGGCCTCAAGGCAATGAAATTAAAAATGTTTTCAGATGCACTGGACTCCTTTGCCTTGTGGGCCCTGTGGTGACCCATCAGCAGATCCCACGGTTCTACTGCCAAAATTGATGCAGGGTGCACCCCAAGGCCCCCCATGCCTTGGTTGCCCCCTACTTCTCCCTTGCTCTGTTTGTGTACAGGGACGAGAGTGATGCTTCTGAAACACAGATCTTTAAAACCCTCCTATAGTTTTCATCTCATTCACAATGAAACCCATGGTTCCTACCATGACTTAGGAGGCAGGTCCCACAACCCACCTTTGTCCCCAGGTCAGTGTGCTCCAGCCTGTGGCCATCCTGCTGTGGGCATGCCTTGCTTAGGGGCGTATCATTGGCCATTGCCTGTATCTGGAATTGTCACCACCAACATTCACACACCTCTCACTTCCTTCTGGTCTTTTACCCAAAGGTGCCTTACAAGTGAGGCCTTTTGATACTTCTTTTTTTTTAAAATATTTATTTATTTATTTATTTTTAGTTTTCGGCGGACACAACATCTTTGTTTGTATGTGGTGCTGAGGATCGAACCCGGGCCGCGCGCATGCCAGGCAAGCGCGCTACCACTTGAGCCACATCCCCAGCCCGATACTTCTTTTTGTCTTTTTATTTATTTATGTTTTTGTACTAGCGATTATGCCCAGGAATGCTCTACCACTGAGCTATATCCCTAGTCCTTTTTATTTTTTATTTTTTGAGACAGGGTCTCTCTAAATTGCTTAGGGCTTTGCTAAGTTGCTAAGGCTGCCCCTGAACTCCTCACCATCCTCCTACCTCAGCCTCCTGAGTTGCTGGATTACAGGTGTGCACCATTGCAACAAGCTTCTGACTTCCTAATATTATAGAATACCACCTTCTCTTTGGAGCACTTAGCATTTCTGGAAATAATATATGTATGTATTTGATCATCTAATTTCTGTAGCTGGTAAGTAAGCTTCATGATGCAGAATTTCCATTTGTTGACTGCTGTATCTGAAGACACTGGAGCATGCTGGGCACATGCTGGTAGTTGATACCCAACATGTATTTGTTGAATGAGTGAGCAAGTGACTAGGAATAGATGACTCTTTATGCCATGTCGTGTCTGCCTTAAGTTTCTTTCTCAGTGAGAAATCTATGTAGAAGTGTAGTTGCTAATACAGGTGCTCATAGAAACTCTCAAACCCAGAAATACTGTTGGGCCGTACCACATCCCAGTCTTTTAAGTTTTTACTGTGTGGGTGCAGATGAAAATTTAATCTTCTTTTATTGTGAACATGATGAAAACAGAAGTAGATAATATTATTCCTGTGAAATCTCTCAAACGGTTTCATCTCACAATTGCACGTCTTTTCCTTGCAGGCGCATGCCAAGCCTCCTGGAGTATGTAAGTTACAACTGTAACTTCATGGGCATCCTGGCGGGCCCACTCTGCTCTTACAAAGACTACATTACTTTCATTGAAGGCAGGTCGTACCACATGACACAGTCAGGTGAAAACGGAAAAGAAGAGGTGCAGTATGAGAGAACAGAGCCATCTCCAAACGTAAGCCCACGACATGTATCTGGAACCTTTATGAAAACACGTGTTCATTCATCTTATTTTAAAATGATGATGTTTTCACATTTTGAATTTCCCTATTTCTTTTATCTTTTCAAGATAAACGATTCTTCACATTATACTTAGTAGTGATGCATTGTAGAAGTACAGTCATGATTAAAGAACAGACTCTACGTGCTGAATCCCTTAGTGAGAATGACGTGGTATAAGGGTGTGGCGTTGTTTTACATGCGAGCCCTCCCTTCTGGACTGGACCCGGATCACCTTCCAGGCTGATGCCTTGGCCTGTGCCTTGGGATTCGCATGTAGGAAGCACTGTTCTCCTTTTGATTTCCTGCTTTACCCTCCTCATCCTAATTGTTGCCAGTCAAGATCTTGTTCCTTTTTAAATGGCTGCTTCACATATCGTCTTTTCCATGAAGCTGTTTCTGGTCCCTGCAGTAAAGTGATGCTAGTAATTCTCACTTGGCCGGGCTCTACAAAGCCCCTCCCTGGCAGCTGCTACGCAGCCTTCCCAGCAGTCCTGGGAGGTGTTCGCTCTCCTCACTGCCTTGAGGAGAGTACTGACAGGAAGGCGCAGCCCTTAGACCAGGCTTTCCTGGGTGACTGGAGGAGAATTGGAATTCAGACCCAGACAGCCTGGCTCTGGAGTTTGTACTTAAATTGCCTCCCAAATGAATACAATTTTATGTCCTTTGAACTGCAGGGGTGTTTGGACTGCACAGTTAGAGCATTTTAAAGAATGCTCTAAGGCATCCAGGCTTCCTATAGGCTTTTTCCCTTGCATTCAATCAAGTATTCCCTGGGAAATCATAGGCTAATCAGAAAGTTTGTGTGATGGAGAAGAGGGGCTCCTGTGCTTCCTCTGCATGTGGCTTGGAGCAAAGGGTCACCACCTTTCCTCTCAGAGCCACCGACCTGCATATGTGCAGGCAGCAAAGTGTGAGTGAAAAACTGTGGAACCTTTTGCAGAACTTCTTCTGTACCATGTGGCTCATTGTGTTTCATGCCAGAAGGATGTTTTATTCTCCATATTTTTCATTACTGGTTAAGTACTAATTGAGAAATGCCAGATCAAACTAGGTTGGACTCAGACTTGAAATTGGAATCTCTGCCATTGAGTATTTCATGTGTCCAGTCTGAGACTTAATCCTTCAGAGGCCTCACTTCTATAACAGAAAGTGAAGGTAATTATAGTTGGCCCTTGAGATCTGAGGATTCTGTATGCACAGGTTGAACCAGAAATATTTTTTAATTGCATCTGTATTGAGCATGTCCACATTTGTCCTATTCCTTCATCAATACAGTATTACAGCTATTTATCAGCACTTTGTAGTAGCTGTTGTAAGTCATCCAGAGATGACTTGAAGCATATGGGAGGATGTGCATAGCCTATATTCAAATATTACACCATTATATATAAGGTGCTTGTGCATCTGCAGGTTTTGGTATTTGGAAGGAGTCCTGGAACCTCTGTGGACACTGAGGGAGAATGGTACAGACAACTTGTATAAGTTTAGTGGAGTACTGAAAGGAGAATGGAAACCTGGGGGTCAAGATGCTGGACATTTAGTGATGGGTTCAGCTTTATCATGTGAGCTCATCAGTTAATGTTGAGTCCCTTTCTTCATGTCTTCCCCACTTTAGGGAGTATCTGAAGAGCAAGGGATTTTGTAAAATATTTGAAAAAATATCAAGAACTATAAACATGTGAGTGTAGTAGTGAACCAAACCCAACAATAATACAGGCTTATATCACCTCACTTTATTTTGTGTGGAATTTACTCTTATAAAATCTTGCTTTCCTTTTGGGCTATAGATATTATCAGAAGTTGTTGACAGTGGCAAATATCATTTTAAAATTTCTCATCATTTTAGTATATTTTGTGTAAATTCCATAGGCATATAGTTGACAAAGTCAAATAGCAGTAATTACTTATAAATCCCTCAAGTTGCATTTGGAAACTCTTTGTGCCTCCATGGGCCGTGCATACTCTTAGAGTCCAAAGTAGGATAGTCAGGTAGCCAGTTGGCTCTTTGGTTGGTTCCTCCCAGTTGTCTTTATCTACATTAGTTAATGTAGGACAAAGTAATAGTTGGTTTTAAACAAAGTAGCAGCTTATCTCACGTAGCAGCTTGGGTGTCGCAGTCTGTGGATATCATGGTGCCCCCACAGAGTTTCTCACATTCCCTTGATCAAAATTAATTGCATAGTTTCACTCGGCTCCAAGAGGCTGAGAGATGCATCTTGAGTTGGACTTGCCTGTGCCTAAGTGCCATTTCCTCTGCTCTGTGGAGGAGGGTAGCTCCCAGGCAACACTGGCCAGTCCCTCCTGATGTCTGTGGGCCTTTGCTCTGGGGCTGTTTGGTTTCTAGAGTAAGAGATCTCCCAATCTTCTGTTCATCACAGACTTGACTGGTGGTCATGGAGGGGGGCAGGAGCAGGGGCAGAGGGTATCCCTTGGGAGGTGGACTTTCTCCAGGCTCTCCACGTTCATTCTAGCATCTTACCCAGCCTACTCCAGACCTGTCTCTAAGCCTGGATATTTCCAGCCTCCTGCTAGAAAGATGGAGGGGTATCTGCCTCTCTAAATTAAGGCATCTTCTCTGTGTAAATCAGGTGTATATGGGGGTGGTATACACCACATACTCCCACCTTACGAAGCAGGTGGCTAGAGAAACCTGGCTAAAACTGCCTTTCCACAAGCTCTTCTCCCAGGTTTAGGCCTCCTGCTTGTCCCCCATTTTTCAAAGATACCTGATGCCTGCACTGATTGGTTCTCACTGCTATCTATGCCTCTTTGAAGTTGAGATCACATCTATGGTACTTTAATTTTCTTTCCTTCCTTCTTTCTTTCCCTCCCTCCCTCCCTCCCTCCCTTCCTTCCTTCCCCTAGACATAGTGTAATGGCCACAGTATTTTATACCTCATTTTTAGGCTAATATATAGGGTCATTTATCTTATCTGACTTCATTTTCAATTTTTAGTTGTTCTCTATTTTTTAAAATGCCTTTATTCAAATGTATAGGTAAGCTATTTGAAGACTGTGTAAAGAAAGAGTAGCCTTGCTGAGTGTGATGGTACATACCTGGAATCCCAGCTATTTGGGAGACTGAGGCAGGAGGATTTTTTGTTAAGAGGCCAGGGAAACTTATCAAGGTCCTGTCTCAAAAAAATAAAAAAGAGTTGGGATGTAGATTAGTGGTAGAGTGCTTGCCTAATGTGGGAGCTTAGGTTTAGTTCCCAGTATAAAAAGGTGCAGCAAGAAGTCCTTGATCAGTGAGATCCTGTCTCTAAATAAAATACAAAATAGGGCTGGGGATGTGACTCAGTGGCCGAGTACCTCTGAGTTCAATCCTTGGTACCCACCCCCCCAAAAAAAAAAAAAAAAAAAAGTCCTTGAGCCCTCAATACCAAGAAGGAGCAACTAAGAATAAAATGAATAGTTTTTTAAGAACTGCAAAGAATTTAACATGCTTTTTGGGAGGGGCAGTGGGGGTGTACCTGGGATAGAACTCAGGAGCAGTAAACCACTGAGTCACGTCCCCATCCCTATTTTGTATTTTATTTAGAGACAGGACTTCACTGAATTGCTTAGCACCTCGCTTTTGCTGAGGCTGGCTTTCAACTTGAAATCCTTCTGCCTCAGCCTCCCAAGCCACTGGGGTTATAGGTATGTGCTACTGTGCTCAACTAGCGTATGCTTTAACTCTTGCCTTTGAGTTACTCTTTTGGCATTGTTACAAAAAAATATTAAAACATAGATGTTCTTTTATAAATTACTTGATTTGAATTTTACTTGGCTATTTATAGTACAGAGCACTCTAAATCTAGGTATTCTGTTATACATTTCTTTATTTGGATATAGCTTTTTCTTTTTTCCACTTGTGTCTTTTCCTTCATGACCTGAATCATCTCTTTTATATTGAATGAGTTTGAAATATTCTGGTCTTCTAAAAATACAGAAGTAGTATAGTTTTAAGTCCACAGAACACCAAGAGGTCTAGGGTATAGTTCACTGGTAGAGCACTTGCCTAGCAAGTTCTGAGCCCTGGGTCTTCTCCCTAATACTGCCAAAAAAAAAAAATTTTTTTTTTCACCATTAAAGAGATGTATATATTATCTATTATATAAATAATGTTCATGAAATGCCTAGAACCTGGAAAGTATATGAAGCACAATAAAATATGCATATGTGTATATACACATAAAAATATAAATATACACACACATAGATGTTTATATATTTATATAGAAAAAAGATACAAGTGGAAAAAAGGTAAAGGAATATATATATGAATGTGTGTATATATATATATATGTATGTATCCAGATAAAGGAATGTATAACAGAATACCTGGATTTAGAGAGCTCTGTACTTTAAATAGCCAAATAAAATTCAAGTTAAGTAATTTATAAAAGAACATGTTTATTTTAATACTTTTTATAACAATGCCAAAAAAAAAATAAAATGACTCAAAAGCAAGAGTCAAAGGACTTAACAGCATACCACAGGGACACGGCCACATCAATGTTTGTAGCAGTACAATTCACAATAGCTAAACTGTGGAACCAACCTAGATGCTCCTCAGTAGATGAATGGATTAAAAAATGTGGCATATATACACAATGGAATATTATTCAGCAGTAAAAGAGAATAAAATGGCATTTGCAGGTAAATGGATGGCGTTGGAGAAAATAATGCTAAGTGAAGTTAGCCAATCCCCCCGCCAAAAAAAATAATGAATGTTTTCTCTGATATAATTGGGTAGGGAGGGGGAACGTGGGAGGAATAGATCGGGCAGAGGGGTGGGAGGGTAAGGGTGGGTCAGGGGGTTAGCAATGATGATGGTGGACTGTGATAGACATCATTATCTAAAGTACATGTATGAAGACATGAACTGGTGTGAACACACTTTTAAATATACAAACAGATATGAAAAATTGTGCTCTATATGTGTAATAAGAATTGTAACGCATTCTACTGTCATTTAAAAAATAAAAAATAAAATCAATAATAAAAAAAAGGATACAGTTCCCTCTGCCAAATGTCCCTGTGCTAAGTAGGAAAAGAAGCACAGCCCAAACAAAAAGAACAAACAAGCAAGAGTCAAAGCGTGTCTGTATGTTTGTTTGTCTATTTATGATTGTGTACACATACACACACACATTTTAAAAACAGAAGAGAGGGCTGAGGTTGTGGCTCAGCGGTAGAGCACTCGCCTAGCATGTGCGAGGCCCTGGGTTTGAACCTCAGCACCACATAAAAACAAACAAAATAAAGGTATTGTGTACAACTAAAAAGTAAATATTAAAAAAAAAAACAGAAGAGAATTGGGGAGATAAACCTGGAGGTGTCAACCTCCATGTCCCCCATCCCCCCATCTCCCGTCACAGATGCAGCCAGGTCTGTACCTTGGGCAACCTGCCTCCCAGGAAATTTGCAAGTGTTTTTTAGTGTGGAAATGAATTTAGCAATTTGTGATTCCAAATAACATACATTAATATCAATTTTAACTTTCACATAAAAATCTACCAAACGTTATAGTGTTAATATTTTTTGGTATCCATTTGCATTCACATCTTTAGCCTTGTGCATGCTTTTAGATTTTTTTATTCCCTGAAAGTTCTGAAAACACAAACTGAGGTTCTGGTCTGAGTTGTGGTTTCGTTCCTGCTGCTCCTTTGGGACAATGGGTCACCTGAGACCCTGAGTGCTGTGCAGCTCCTGCCTTGGGCTGGTGCTGGTTGAGGATGCGAATCAGTGATAACATGTAAGAGCTCTTCAGGGGGTTTGGATGCAGGTGGTGACTCTGCCTCACACCTTGCAGGAATCCGTGGTTCAGAAACTCCTGGTGTGTGGGCTCTCCTTGCTCGTTCACTTGACCATCTCCAACATGTTGCCTGTGGAGTACAACATTGACGAGCGCTTTCAAGCCACAGCTTCATGGCCAACCAAGATTACCTATCTGTACATGTCTCTACTGGCTGCCAGACCTAAATACTATTTTGCATGGACCTTAGGTAAGTAACATGTAAATAGACTTCTCTGTTTCTGTGTTATAGTGTATCTTATAGCTAATCATGAGAGTGTCTTCGTTGTTTTGTTTTTTGTGATGGGGCTTCTATGTATTGCCAAATTGGCTTTACATTCTTAAACTCAAGCTGCCCCTGCCTCAGCCTTCCCAGGAACTGGGCCTACAGGCACACCAACCATACCTGGCGCAAGAGTACCCTCTTGAGGATGTATAATTAAAGACCAATTTGAAAAATGGGAGTTGTCTGGGTAGAAGACATAAGCCCCACCATTTACATATGGGATATCCTAAAAACCAGATCAAGCCCATTCTATTATAAGGTAAAAACTAATAGATCATTGAAGTGACAGATATTTTTAAGTGCCGATTGAATGCTAGATTCTGTATTAGCTAGAATATATATATAGTTTCTCCCCTCAAAATCTGAGTATATTAAGCTTCCATTAAGATTAAGTAGATTGTTAAACATATGATAAGGACTTTATCGGCAAAGTGAACAAAATTATATTGGTACACTGAAAAGAGGTTGTTGGTTATGCCCAATAGGTAAAGCAGGTATTAGAGAAAAGATAACCCTCAATTGTGGTTTTTACGATTGAATGTGACTTTAGCATGTGAAAAATGGCTAGTTTTTTAAAAATACTTTTTATTTGATGTACCTTTATTTATTTACTTATTTAGTTATGTATGGTGCTGAGGATCGAACCCAGTACCTCACGCCTGCTAGGCAAGTGCTCTGCCACTGTGCCACAACCTCAGCCCTAAAAAATGGCTAGTTTTACATGCATGAGCCAAGAACTGTGGAAGTACCTAATCTTTGACAGGTGTAGCTGGGGCCACACAGGAAGGAGGAAACTGGGATTTAGAAATAGTGCTTTCCCAAGACCCTGCCACCCTGCTGAAAGGAGCCTTAGCAGACCTCCGAGGCTGACAGCTGAGGCCAGCTCCTGTCCTGGTAAAGAGACAGAGATACATGTCCCCGGACAAATCAAAACCTCTTGGATATGTGTCATCTTGTGCTTGGACCCACTGGTTACGGACCCTCTGTTCTCAACGCTGTGTCCATCTGCCTTGTGTTTGGTACTTGGTGGCTGAGTGAACACTTGAAGAAGCATGTCAGTCACCTGATGCTAGGAGCAGGCTGAGCACTGGCGTTTACTACGTGCTTTGTTTAGTGGTGAACAAACACTTCTGAAGATGTTTTTTTACACCTGTGATACCACTTATAAACTAGGTACAGTAGTGGAGCAGTCCTGTAATCCCAGCAGCTCAAGAGACTGAGGCAGGAAGACCACAAGTTCAGGCCAACATCAGCAATTTAGTGAGACCCTGTTTCAGAATAAAGAGGACTGGGATTGTAGCCCAGTGGTAGAGCACCCCTGAGTTCGATCCCCAGTACCACCAAAATAAATAAATAAATAAATAAATAAGTATTCTGTCTTTAAATTGAGACTGAATTTTCTCCATACCCACCCAGCATTTGTAGGGTTTCATTAAGAAATGCATAAGAATGCCAGACATGGTGGCACAGGCCTGTAATCCCAGCACTGTGGGAGGCCAAGACAGGAGGGTCGAAAGTTCAAGGCTCATGTGGGCAATCTAGCAAGACCATCTCCAGATACAGAAACAAAAAGGGCTGGGAATGTAGCACCACTGAAAGTGTTTGCTCAGCACACGGGCCCTTGGGTTCCATTCCCAGTATCACACATGAAAGAGAAAAAGAGATTCATAACTAATTATTTCTTTGCTAATTGTGACAATTAGAAGAAACCTTGAAATGAAAAATTAGAAGATTAGAAGATTGTATACCCCCACCCCAATATTTGGTTTGATAAGCCAGGAAAAGATTATTTTCTTTTTTCCCAGTTCCTCTTTAAGGACATAATTTGATCAGAACAATTTGAAATGGAGCTACATTCAAAGAATTTTTGCCATGAGCTTATAAGGCTATTTATTCATTCAGCAAATGCTTTAACTTTGTAGTGTGCTATGCTATTATAGGTATTAGTGGTGGTTAACATCTGCAATCTAACTTGCAGTTTTGGATCAGGCAAGGAGCAGAGTGAGGCTTATTTCAGCATCTGAGTGGGCCCATCCCCTCTCCTCCTGAGCCTTTTTTTTTTTAATTGTCCATTTGGTTCTCAAATTGGAGTTCTGTGATATCTGGAGGTCCAGGGTCCAAGAGTTCCAGTATCATCCTTTAATATAGTTTTTGCATTTTGATCATAATTTTTAAAAGAAGAATGGATCATGTGGGTAATTACTTTGGTAGGTTCTTGTAAATAAATGTTTTTAAATTTAGTTTCTTTGATACTAAATGGCTACCTCAACAGTAATGTTTAATTTTTCATTTCAAGGTTTCTCAAAATAGGAATCAGGCTTCTAGATTTCCCACCTGCCCTCTTCTCACCCCTTCAAATAGATCATTTCTTGGAATTTGAACAGTTTTTTGTTTTTTGTTTTTAACTCAAGTTGGCATAGCCCTGACTTGGTCTGTATAGGGACAGGTCAAAGTTGAGTTGATGCCAGTGGTTGGCTCTTTGGAGTCATGGGTCACTCACCTCACCTCACCCTGAGGAACCTTGGGCCACCTGAGGTGCAGGCCAGGCTCTTGTTGGGGGCTGGATAAAGGGAGGCCTCACCTGCTGTTTGGTCTCTGAGCCAGTCCCCTTGGGAGAGGAGCCGTTGGAGAGGAGTTACTTCCAGCTGGCAGCAGGCCAGAAAAGATGGCAAAAGTGAGCAAGTTAAGAAACCAGAGGTGGCAGCCTCCGTGGAGCAGGGCCTCAGCACAGACGTGCTGCCGTGCTGCCGTGCTGCCGTGCTGCCGTGCTGCCGTGCTGCCGTGCTGCCGTGCTGCCGTGCTGGTAGTGAGTGTTGCCCTATCAGTAGGCTTACTTGAAAGGCTCCTGTATCAATAAGCTTACCTGAAAGGCTCCTGTATCAGTATGCTTACCTGAAAGGCTCCTGTTTACTGGACCAAAGGCAGCTAAGCTCTTTAACCCTGACAAAGGGATCAGTCTAGCTCATGTGTTCTTTTTTCCTCCAAAGTGTAAATTTTGAAAATCCTGTTTAATATACTAAAACACTAATATGGAATGAAAACAACTTAAGGATGGGGTGCATATCTATAGTCTTCTGTTGGTTTTTGGTGGATTTCAGCTTACTCTTGGTTGTAGCAGAAACAGCATAAGTTATAAAGTTTTCCAATTGATTGGGAAAGGGCTTATTTGAGGGAGAATTCAAGCAGATATATAAATCAAAGATAACTAATTGAGCATTGTGGTGAAAAGGATTAAAAAACAGATTTTGGAGACGTAGAGTGGATTCTAATGAACTAAGACAGAAGAAAATTGAAATGAAAACATGCCTCATCTATATATTCTTCTTTATAATATAGTCAAATATGTGTCTAAAAGGAACATGGTGATCTCACAGTGGAGCATCTCCTAGCAGTTTGGTGCTGAATGCTTTTGGCTGTGTTCCAGGAAGCATTGTAGAGTTTCAAAGTTATTTTCTACACACAGTATGTACCTTTATTTAGCCTGTTGGTGCCAGCAGGTCTTAAATTACACCTGCCCTTTACTCATGCTTAATGTGTTATATTTCATTGATTATTCAAATTGCCCTTATTGGGGTAGTTATTTTCAATGTGTGTGATAATGTTTCTAACCTTCCTTAGAATACATCTATTTATACTGTTTAATAATAAGAGACACATAAAGCACAACACACATCTGGGAGGATATAGATTTCTACAAAAGTTCTTAATACTTTTTTTTTTTTTTTTTTTACTTTGCTACAGCTGATGCTATTAACAATGCTGCAGGCTTTGGTTTCAGAGGATATGACAGAAATGGAGCAGCTCATTGGGACTTGATTTCCAATTTGAGAATTCAGCAAATAGAGGTGAGTAAATCATGAAGAAATTATCATTCTGTCACTCTACCAGTATTTACTGATGACCAGCCCTGTGCCAAGGAACCAAGGAATAAGATGGGTACCAGAGGGCCCTCCAGCAGTGCCATCAGGTTTCTGATCAGAGAGGGCTAGGCATATAGTGTTCTTCAGACTGGGGCTTAGCTTAGTGCGGGTGTCTCAGGGACAGATGTCTTAAGCAGGAGACTGCCAGGTACTCCAGGTAGGAGGAGCAGCCTGAGAGGATGAGAGGTTTAGGCAGTTGTGAGGGCTCCTTGGGCTCAAGGTATGCAAGGCCAGGCATGCCCAGCACGGTCTTAGAGGCCATATGAGGGGTTTGAACTTTCTTGCAGGAGCAGTGGTGGAGCACTGCAGGTATGTTACAGGGGCAGGTGAGTGAGCTGAAACCAGAGACATGTTCTAGAAGGATCCAGCATGTAGAACTTGTTGTCCTTACAGGCAGAGATCTGCTGGGAGGTATAGTATTAATCCAAGATGCTGGTGCCTTAAACTAGGAAACTGCCAGAGGGAATAGAAAGAAAGGAGCGCTGTGTGTGAGATTCAACAGAACTTGGTAATGAATTGGAACCAGCAGAGAAACAAGGTGTAGGTCAAGCATAGCTGCTTTAAGCAACCAGGGTTATGGTGATGCCTCTCACTGAGATAGGAAACAAAGATGCACAGGTTTGGAGAGATAGAGAGTGTGTGTAAATCTCAGACTCACTAAGTTGTTCAGCAGGCAGACAAGTGGTCAATCAGCAGAGACACCTGAGCCCAGAATTGTAATTTGGGAACTCGAACTCATAGCCCTGGGGGAAGCTAAGAGCAAGGCCAGCAGAGACCACTGAGAGAAGAGAAGGTGCATCTGAAAGAGCACAGGAGGCCAGACAAGGTGGCCATCAGGAAAAGAAGCAGGGAGAAGAGGGAAAGCCAGGCAGATGCTTCGCCAGCCTGTGAGAAGCTTTATTCCAAGCAGGAGAAATTGCAAGACTGTAGGTAAAAGGTCAACAGGGAACTTTATGAAAATGGCCCAGGCTGGACCCACCCAGGATCCCGGCATGGTCAGCAGGCTCTGCAATGAGGAGCTGCAGGAAGCAGAGCGCTGGCCCCGGGGAAGTTTCCCACGGTGACTAAACCTGAGTGGGGCCTCTGGGTCTTTCTCAGTTTAGAGGGAATGTGGAATAGAGAGGAGTCAGTCAACTGTCAGATCCAGAATTAGGAAATTTCACAGGGCATAAGACATATGACCTGTGGGGTTGTTTTTTAAAACACATTAGTGGCATAGAAAAAGTAGAGGGTGGAGAGGGACTATTACAGATTAAAGGAGACTGTGGCCAACAAATCAAACAGGGATGTTTGACTACAAAAAGGGTATTAAATGATGCTAAATCATTTGAGCAGGGTGTAGTGGGTGGTACATATCTGTAGTCTCACCTGCTTGGGGTGCTGAGGCAGGAAGATTGCTTGAACCCAGAAGTTTGAGACTGTCCTAAAAAAGAAAAATTATTATTAATTTTGTTAGATCTAATAATGGTTTCTAAAATGTCCTTGTTGGGCATCAATTTTGCATTATCTCCACGTGAAATGCGATTGTAGTAATTGTTTTGAAATCTTCCTAATAATGTGAGGAATGAAAAATGGAGAAGAGGAAGGGAAGATGGGTTCATGCGGAGCCAGGGACGCAAGTGTGGTGGTGGTCCAGGCTTCGGTTTGTGGTCACCACCTGCAGAGCCTTCCCAGCACTTTGTTCCCTGGTTGTCCCCCTGCAGTGTTAGTGCTGTGGACATACTGTGTGTCTCTTGGTCTACTGTGTGCATGCACGTGGTTTATACAGGAAAAGACGGGATTTATGCACCCCACTAGGACCAGTTTTTATCCTCTTGGGGGCGCTGTGTGGAATAACATCAAGAAAAGCATTAGTTTTTCCAAGGAGAGTGTGGACAGCTCTGCTAAGTGTCCCTGAGGTGTCAACTGAGATAAGGACAGATAAGTGTCCTATAGGTTGCTTTAGTTGAGAACCATGAGCCTGGAGGTCTAGAATGCCCCTGCTGTTCCAGGCTTGGCTTGCAGATATGCCTGTGGGGAAGGAGGCAGCTTGCTGTCAGGGGCTGGGGTTATGATGGGCAGGCAGGTTGAAAGGAAAAGAGACAAAGGCCTCAGGGATTTTGATAAGACAATAGTAAATAATGGACCATGGAGTCTAAAATGGTAGAAGAGGGCTGGTGATGTAGCTCAGAGGTAGAGTGTTTTGCATGCACAAGACCCTTGGTTCAATCCCCAACACAGCCCCAAATAAATGTTAATTAAAATAAAATAAAACACAGTCTTCCTCTCCCACTTCACCCAGACAGTGGCAGGGATTGGGAGAAAGGAAGATGATGAGGTAGACACTCCAGTCCTTGGTGTTGGACAAAGGTGTTTGTGTACTCAGCAGGACTTTCTTTGTAGTAATTTCATGACAAGCTTTGTAAATACTGACACACGGGAGAAAGAGAGTGCATTTATTCATTCTCAAAAATTAACTCCTTTTAAGAATGATGTTATTACTATCTGCGAAAAATAGCATCAAGAAATGAGGAATCTTTTGCTATCATCATTATGCGGAAGTTTTAATTCATCAGCATAATATTTATAGCTTCATTGTTTTGTTGGCCAAAGAAAAGTTTCCTTTGTTTTTCAGATGTCAACAAGTTTCAAGATGTTTCTTGATAATTGGAATATCCAGACAGCTCTTTGGCTCAAAAGGTATGTTTCTTCAAGAACATTTTTAGATGTATTTTGGCATCTAGTACTTGAAGTTGAACTTCGTCGAATTCATGTTCTCAATTAAATTCATGGTGTGTTAAGTGACATTGTGGCTTTGGCATTAACCTAGGAAAGACTGTTAGCACCCACCTGATCAGGACAGTTGGGCCTGAGTCACGGTTCTCTATCACCACCTCCCACCTCCTCAGCCAGTTTCTGCTCCTCTGCCCGAGTCCTCAGTGCCTCTGCTGCCATCCCCAGAGATGTGGAGTGGTTTTTTTGTTTTTGGTTTTGGTTTGGGATTTTTGATGCTGGGGATTGAAACCATGACCTGGGCCTGCGAGGCAAGCATTCTACCAGCTGAGCTATATCCCAAGCCCAATATGTGATTTTAAAGAAACTCTGTACATATCCACTCTACATGTGCTGCAGGTTTTCTGGAACAGTTCCAGTTTGAATATTCCAGTCTGACAGATCTTTATGTGTTAGGCACAGGCCCAAAGATAGGCCAGTCCCCCCAGAGATCTCAGAGCACAGCAGTGGACCAGGCACCTGCTGATCCCTATGGGGGGTATTGTGAGAGAGTAGGAGCAGCATGGCACGCAGGGAAACAAGGGGACATTTCTCAGAAGCCTGAGCCCCAGGATGTCAGTTAGGATGTGCGGCCCGGAAGGAGAGGGCACCAGCCCTGGGCAGAGCAGGGCCTGTCCAGTCTAGGATGACACCGGAACACCCAGGCTCTCTCTCCAGTGTCCACAGGCACCTGCTCAGTCTTGAATTTATTCTTAAAGTATTGTTCCTGTTCAGAGAGGGCTCAAAGTCGCCTGCCTTTGTAGTGTTTCTTTAAAACAATTGAATATCTTACCCCTTGAGATACCTCGTTTTTACCATGCCTTCCTGATCCCAGCCAGGCCCCCAGCAGTGTCGGACCAACTCATCTGTTGTGTGATGTTATTGTTGTTATTTATATATTTATACTTATATATTTAATTTTAAATTTTAAGCTCATTTTCATCTGAATTATATGCCCTATTATAGGAGAATTTCAGACTAAGCATAGCCTATTTAATTTACCAGAAAGAATCATGTTCAATTGAAAGTTTTGAGTGTTTTTAACGAAAGCAATAAAATCGCTCATGGCTGGGATCCTACTCCTTGACCCCAAGCTCAAGGCCAGCCTGAGCAGCTCAGTGAGACCCTGTCTCAAAGTAAAAAACAAAAACAAACCAAAAAGGGCTGGGACATAGCTCAGAGGTAGATCGCATAGCGGAAAGGAGCCTTGGGTTCAGTCCCCAGTGCCATCAAAAAAGGGGAGGAGGGGAGACAAAGAAAAAAAAAATGTAGAATAAAACCTCTAACTTTAATTTTAATTATAAATTTCTGGTAAATTTTAGAGACTCCCAAATAGTAGAAATGATAATTTAGTGGTTGTGGGAAAGTAGGAATTGAATTTATGATTCTAAATTTGATACTTAATAATCGTAACATCCCTGAGATTCCAGACCGAGTTATTACCCAAGATAGATAGTATTTGTTCTTCTGGCTACTAAAATCCTGCCAAGTAATGGGAGAATGATCAGTGTAGGGTTGGTAAGCTCGGATCCACTCACTCCTCTTGGTTCTTTGTGTTTTTTTGTGGTTTTTAGGGTGTGTTATGAACGGGCCTCCATCAGTCCAACCATCCAGACTTTCTTTCTCTCTGCCATTTGGCATGGGGTATACCCAGGATACTATCTGACCTTTTTAACAGGGGTATTGATGACATTAGCAGCACGAGCTGTAAGTATCAAGAATTTTAATTATAATTCAGTGACCCTACTTCTTTAGCCTTGATTAGCACAGTCGTCTGCAGTGGAGCCCACATACGTAGCGAGTCTCCCTGCACGCGGCCTTCCCTGCTTTACCGGAGAAGCACACAGGAGGCACTCACATATTATACTTATTTTTACAGAATTTTCTGAGGGAAAGAGAAAAATAGTTAAATAAAGATGATCAGAATCATAGGTTTGTTTGAGAAGTGCTTTTGAACTAGCTGTGGTAGCACTCAGAGGTAAGGTGGCTTCATTTAACAAACAGCAAGTATTGACTGTTAAGTTTTAAGGTAGCATGATGGTGTACGAGGGAAGTCAGGAAGCTAAAGGCTGTGCCTTTGATAGTTTGGTGAAATCGGGTATCGAGTGTGTGTACGCTGTGAGTGGTTATATGCACATACCAACGCATGTTTCCCGAGGCATGTATGATAGGCTCCATGGTTTTTTTAAGATGGTAAGTATCAGAGATGAAAGAAATATTTCTTCATTGAGATCCAAAGCATTTAGTCTGGGCTTTGAAAGATGAAAGGTAGAGCTAGGCATGGTGGCGGATACCTCTCATCCCAGCAACTCAGGAGGCTGAGGCAGGGAGATCACACGTCAGGGCCAAAAAAAGGAAATTATTATTTCAATACTGAGTGAGATGTGGGGGAGATATGGGGGAGAAAATGTTACTCTAGGCATGGAATGACATTAACAAAACTGTGGTTAAAATGTCATGCTATATTTGGAGAACAATAACTAAATCTAATTGAAGAGGAGAATTGTATTCATAAATAGTGGATAATTCTGGATAGGTACAGAGGGGAGAGGAGGAGAGCAATAATGGGAGAACTTGAATATCAAAGTGGGGAAGAGCCTAAGCCTGTTCTGTTTGCAGTATTAGGTAGTTAAGGTAAGGTTTGCTTTTCATTGTCTTTCGGTTTTTTATTTTTATTTTTGCAGTGCTGGGTATTATACTTAGTGCCTTGCAAATGCTTAGCAAGCACTCTGCCAGGGAGCCAGCTCCCCAGCTGGGTAAGGTTTGTAAGAATACTGACCACCATACGTGAAGAAATGGGTTTGTCATTAATGAGCAGAGTGGACTAGATAATAGGTGTCCCGCTGGTGAGCTAGGCAAGAAGTCACAGGCAGGATTTGGTTTTGGCCACTAAGAATGATGGTCTTTGCGTGGAAGAACCATTTCTCATGTGCCAGCTCCACTCTAAAGGAGTTAAGACGGCATCTGGAGAACAGGGCTGTGCGTCCCATAAACATACTAGACGAGAAGAGTGAGAAACGCAGGAGAAGAGACAGCACCATGATTGGGTTGAAAAGGTTGAGATGTTTTCACTACCTTGAAAGCATTAAAAAGTCATCAAAATAGTGAAGATAGAGGCTCTTCCGGCTTCCATTTGTGAGTGATGTGTGTGGTTGCTGTTTGTTTCTGGTGAGTGCTATTTACCCTGAGCTCAGTGCACGGGATCTATTTGTTCACATGTGTAGAGGTTAAAGAGAGAGGTGACGAATGTACTTTTCATGGTGGCAGGAGAAACTGAAAATAGGTTGAACTCTATTGTGTCCTCTCCCAAGTACCAGTTAAGGAGCTTTGCGTAGTATTGTTTTTAACTCTTTGGGGAAATTTTTCATTTTAATGCAACTTCAGATCAACTAAGAAGTTGCACAGAGCTCCTGTAGGCCTTAGGGCCCAGATCCATGAGTTCATGTCTCGCCTGGATGCCTTCTTTTCCACCTCCACAGCTTATGCCCAAGTGTGTTCAATTTTTCAGAACCAGCTTTTCTCACAGTGGTAGTATCATTTTAGACTCATGCCAGCTGCATGCAAGTTCAACATTCTTGATATAGTCATTGCCAGTATAATTGTGTAAGTAATGTTAATTTAAAGGTATAGTAAGTGTTTTTTGTTTATTTTTTATTTCAGATGAGAAACAACTTTAGACATTATTTCCTCAAAACTCCCCAACTTAAATTATTTTATGACATCATAACATGGGCAGTAACTCAAATAGCAATAAGTTATACAGTTGTGCCATTTGTGCTTCTTTCTATAAAACCATCATTCACGTTTTACAGGTAAGTGTTACTCGTAAGATTTGTCAGGAAAGAAAGTTCCTTGCTATTGCATGGGATATGAAAATAGTACTGTACCTCATTTTCTGCTGGTGGAAGCATGACAGTTACTTCTTAATCCTGAACCAAGCAATCTCAAATCTTCATGGGATGGCTCACACTCGTGAAGGTGAGGGAAGTGCCGGCTGGTAACTGCTGCCTTAGCTTTCAGGGATGTTGAACTGGAAACCTCCTGGCCTGATTGTCCAGAACCTGGTTGGGAAAAAAGTCGGGTCTTTACAAAGAATGATTAATTATCTTGGTTTCTTTAATCAAAGGAAAATAAGTTACTTAGATTTTTACTTATTTGTTTCTTTTCACTCTTTTGTTTCATTAGTACTATGGTCATCATGTATTATTAGAAATTGTTAACTTGAATTCCATATTTTTTGTTTATTTGTTTATCTCCTCCCCTTGCCCCATCTAATTCCACTCCCCCATAACAGTGATAGCTTAGAGATCAAAACTTGATCCTTTCATAAATTCTTTAGACTTTAGAGTGACTTAGAACAGAATGTGCAGCTGGAAAATTGTCAAATACAATATTACAAAAATCATACATACAGAAAGACATTTCTACTTTAACAGAATCATTTCTTACTTTAAAATGCAGTAAATTGGGCTATTCGATGCATCTCAGGTACTTCTCTCAATCACTTGAACTTCCAACTATTATAGAGCAGTTGAGGTTGCATTTGGTTTATATTTGATTTGGGGAATGATGTTTCTGAGTATCTTAAATAACATGGCCTTTCTTTACGTGTGGAAGTCACCACCAGGCACTGTTGCTTATCTGTTGCTTTCCTCCTCAGAATCCCTGTGACTCAGGGAGAGACAGTGGACAGCAGGGGGCGTGGCCAAGCCAGGCTCTGCTGTCCTTATTGTCTCTTTGGTGACTCAGAATTAGAGTCTCTGGATTGAAGGGATTATTTTCAGATCACTACCACTGTTAATAAGTACCTTTCTTCTTGTCCTGTTCCAAGCTGTGTAATCTACTCTCGTGCTCACGGGGGCAGAGCTCTGTAGAGACCCTGGGCCGCAGTGTGGAGTCCACCTTGAAGGGGAGGGAGCAGTGACGCAGGTGTCCACAGGGTGCAGTGAAGGATTACTAGTGTCCAAATTTAATATAACTAACTTTTCCTTTTTCTTTTAGCTCCTGGTATTACTGCCTTCACGTCTGTAGTATCTTAGTATTATGGTTGTTGCCAGTGAAAAAGACTCAAAGAGGAAAGAATATACATGAAAACCATCAGCTCTCACAGTCCAGAAAGGTTGACGAAAGAGAAAATTCTTTGGGAGAGGACAGTTTCTCCACAAGAAACAGCATTTGCAATCAGAACCAAGAAAAAGCCTCTAGACCATCTTCATCAAGGCAGTGATGGGGAGGCCTTCCTGCTGACTGCCTTTCTTGTGTTGACAGAAACCAGTCTTAGCACCTTCGCAAGGGGTTTGTGTTTGTTTGAAAAGAGATTAACGGGGGAAATGGGACAGCTATAGGTAGGGAATTTCCTGTAAACCAGATTGGAAACGGAAAGAAGCAGCCCTCCCATGCCATGTCCCTGTGGGCCACGCCTTACATAAAAATATTTTCATATTTCATGGGGCATTCCGACCTCAGCATATGTCCACAAGGTCATATGTGTGCCCTGTTGCCGAATGTATGTTGTGTACCCCAAGGCACTGCAGAGGTGGAAAACTTATCGTGTCCGACTGAATGATTGAGGGGGTTAACTTTTCCAAATGAATGTCTTGCCTTAAACCCTCTATTTCCTAAAATATTGTTCCTAAATGGTATTTTCAAGTGTAATAGTATGAGAAGATTATTTCAATATTTGATGTTGTATAATGTAAAGGAATTTAGAAGGAATTTGAAACAGGATATTTAAGATGGTAGATACTTTAAAAATGCAATAAACATCTCAGTATTTGAAGGGTTTTCTTAAAGTATCTCAAATGACTACAGTGCATAGTGAAACTGTAAGCAGTAATGGATGCCAAATTATAGGTAGCTTATTTTGCTGGAGAGCTTAATTACCTTGTGTTAGTCAGAGAGTCCTTCCAGGAGGAACTTCTTAAACATAATTAAAGGTTGGTAATGTGATATTTTAAGCTTATTTTCTTAAAAAAGAGAAAATGAGGCAGGAAAGTAGGAATGAAGAAAGCTCTGTGAGACTTGGAGCTAGAAACAGTTCCCCCTTTCTTCATGGGGTTCTGTGTAACTGTCTAAGACATAAAAGTTTAAAAACTGGGTAATACTTTGGACTTTCAAGTGAAATTGATCAAGCATAAATTATATAGAATTAGAAGAGATAATGAGAGTAACAGTGATAGACTGCTTTTTTTGAAAGAAGTCTCTAGTAATTAGGGTTCTGTCTGGCTAATCAATTTCCTATCCTTGTCACTTTAATTCCTATGTGGAAAAGTTTTAGGAAATCAAAAACTTAAAAGACATGGCGACTGAATGACGTTTTTGAGACTAATAGAAATTAGTTTCCAGATGCTTTTAAATTTCTCACATTAAAATTTTGTTGTTAACTCCTGCTAAAATGAGTTTTAGATTCTGTAAGAAGAAAACTGTGATTCCTTCTTATGGGCCATTTCTACCATGAATAATCTTGCCTTGAATTCCTGGGCATCTCCTTTAGTCTGCAGAGTATTGTGCTGGCTGCAGTAGCAAGAGCAGGAGCTGGAACTGGAGGCCAGGTGTTACAGCTGGGCCCAGCCACAGATGGTCTGTCACCCTGTGGCAGGGAAAGCAGATGAGGCCTTCCAACCTCACCGTTGCTTGACCAATCTTTGGTGGAACTTTTCTTTTTGCCTTAAATTTTTATGAAATGAAATTATATGTCTATGATGAGTCTCTTTTTCTGATCACTAATAAACTTATAAATGAAGTAAAGACAAAACAAAAATCTGACATAAGCTCTGTAGTATTTCATGTAAAGAAATGCAAAGTCAATGCACTTGGAACTTCTGTGGTCTCAAAAAGTCAGTGTATTGTCTTAGAACTTTTAGAAACACACTTGCTTTTCTAAAGGCTTATGTTTTTCTCTCTGATGAGGCAAACCCCACTTCTTCCTCCCAGGCCAGGGTAGATAGCTAAGTAACTTTTGTCTGTTTTCCCGTGCATTGAAATTAAGCTAGCTGCATAATGTGAGGTTAAAAAGGAATGTTCATGGAAAGTGTCTCCTCTTAAAACATCTTCTCAGTTTAATCAGTGCTGCAGAGAATCTGCTCACTGTTAAGAGAAAGTAAACAAATGTAGAGTAACCAGAAAGCTCTGCAAAAACTTTTGTGTTTTTTGTTTTCTTGGTTCTCTCTATCCAGCTACTTACAGAGAGTCACCATTTATTTCTGTTGCCCGAGTATATTTCATCTCTCAGCCCACATCATGGCCCCTGCTTTTTGCTGACTGAACATCTAACTACAGCTCTGTCTGCAAAGAGCAAAGTGTTGGGCTGGCTCCTGGATTCCCACCAGGATGGCGCTGAGCCGTCCTGGTGGTAATTTTTACCCCCCTCAATCTACTAGTGCTTTTTATGAAATGTTTTTTGAATACCTCTCATCTGATTTGGAGAAATAATCACAAATATGCAATCTAAAAGAAAAACTAGGATTCTAATTCTCACCTTGATTTTTCTCCAAGAAAAAAAAAGTTTTACAAAATGAATATTCTCTTTGGAGTGATGTGAAGATTAATTTTTTGTTTCTACCTATGGTAGAAGAATTAAAATCTAGCATATCTCTACTGCTGTCAAGTATAAAGGGATTCATTGTGATGTGTGCTTGCTTTTTTTTTTCCTTCAGCAGCAGAATAGGATTCAGTGTGTATTTATATTATTTTCCCACTCTTCAGATATCATGAAACCACACTAGAGATGATCAATCAACATCATATTTATACTTCTGGTTAATTACATACTACTCAGGGAAAAAAATTGAACAAAAATAATTATTCTTCCCTCAATTTCATTTTCTTGAAACAATAATAGTTACTTTGACGTGTCTCAACTGTCATCATTTTATAAGTGGCTCATTCTGTTTTTAAAATTAGCATTTTTGCTGGAACTCAGGGTAATAGGGGATGTTTATTTAGCTTCTGAAATATCCAGAGTAATAGACAAGATTTATTTGGCTTCAAAAATGTCCAGCTACCACTTCTCGTATCAGCCTCCACCTTCCACTTGTTTAACATGTTGCCATTGGTCCCCACCATGTTGACACTCACACAGGGACTTACATACACACCGCTTTTGAGAAACGTTGGCAGTGAAAGGTGGTTTCTGGAGGTAAGGGGAGCTCCTCCTGTGAGCACTGCCTGACCTGGAGGAGGAACTGGAAACTCTGGCTGTGCCTGTTGAGTGCCTGTTCTCTAGCGCTCATGCTCCCTTCCCTTGCAAGGGAGAGGAACGAGGACCCGGAAGGGGAGCCAAGTGCAAGGGCATGGGCAGATTCACAAGGAGAACTATTGTGGTTGCTGATTTTCATTACTGACACTCAAAGCCATGACTTTTTTAAAGGTTGTCATAGCAACAGAGTATTTGTGAGTGTGTATGTGTGTGTGGTACTGGGAATTGAACCCAGGGATGCTCTACCACACCCTCCAACTGTTTTATTTTTGTTTTTAGGCAGGGACTCACTAGTTTACTGAGGCTGGCCTTGAACTTCTGATTCTTCTGTCTCAGCCTCTTGAATCAGTGGGATCATAAGTGTGCACCACTGCACCTGGCCAGAAGAAAACCTTTTTAGTTGTTGTTTGATTGTTTTAGTTGTGGTTTGGATCTTTTAAATTTTATTTTGTTTTGTCTTTGGTACTGGGGGTTGGACCCAGGAGCGCTTTACCACTGAACTACATCCCTAGCCCTCCTTTTGATCCTCCTGCCTCAGCCTCCTCAGTCACTGGGATTATAGGAGTGTGCCACCTTGCCCGGCTCAGAGGGCAAACAATCCATTAGATCAGAAGGTGTGGCAATATACTATTTCTACTGAACATAGCCCTTAAAAATGACTTTCATAGTGAAATGGTCTCTATTGAAGAAAACATTTATTTTTTATTTTTGGTACTGGGGATTGAACCCAGTCCTTTGCTGAGACTGGCCTTGAATTTGTGATCCCCCTTTACCACTTTATTTTAAACTACAGAAAATAATTAAAATTTTTGCCATTAAAATGATTTTATATAAGTCATTCTTTATTTGTTGACTTTAGGACAAACGTTTCCTGTTTAAAATTCATACCTTTTAAATATTTAATTTGGATATTCTTGAACAAATTGGACATTTATACTTTTTGTTTCCAAATTCATAATTATTGGATAATTGGTTTTATGAGTTCTACATAAGATTGAAAAAAATTACTTGAGAGAATGATTATCTCAAAATGGTACCTGTATTGCTGTCAGCTAAGGATTTGTCCAAGCTTCTAAATATCGGTCAGTATTTTGAGGGTTAGTCAGACATTAATAGTCCATTCTGCTGAAATTTAATGCATCAAATTTAACATAGGTGCAGGATTCTGAATAACACTGTGAATGCAATCTTAACTACCCTCAAGGCCCTTACACACCTGTTGCACTTGACCCAGAGGCACCCAATGAGTGGTTGATCATCATGCTCTTTCTTTGGATGCTAAATTTCTGCTAATAAAAGTGGGTTTGTACCACTGTGGTTGAATGAACAGATTGCATTAAAAAAAATAATAAATCCACACTGAAATTTGAGTTTGAAGGATTAGAATGTAAAGGGTCTCTGCAGTGTTTTTCTGCAACACCATGTAGTCAATTCTATTTATAGTAATTCTCCTTACAGAAGAAAATTTAAAATGAAATTTTCAACATTGATATTTTGTAGGAATGCACTTCTAATCAGTGATTAAGCTGCTTTTTGAGGCTCTTGTTGTACAGAGGATGCAGCCACTTGCATTTTAATTGATAGGCTGCTTAATAATATTTTATATGTTTTAAAATAATATTTATTTTAATAGGTTTTTAACATAAAGTTAAACCCCAGTAAAGAACTGACAAGCTTCAGGTCATTGATTGGGAAAATTTTGTGAACCAAAAGTAAAGACACATTTTTATGCCAACTAAATTGTCTTGCCTTTAAAACTGATTATAACTCTTCTTTTAGTATGACTTTTATAAAGCAAAAAGAAAAACAAACCCAAGACTCTGTGTTCTATAAATAGTATAAAGATCCATGTAAAACTGCTGTCTGACACTTACCAGTGATACACAGCCATCTCTCCAGCCATGTTTTATCAAATTTTGCAACTATAAAAAGAAACAAAAATATAATGAAAAACGGAAAGTTACAGAGCAACATAAGCAAAATGACTAACCAATTTCTTAATAGCATGTTTGAAGTGGAAAAAGTGTATGCTGTTTACTGTTTCCAGCTATAGTTTGGATTTTCTTTGAGAAATTGATTTGTTAATATTCCTTTCCGTCCCTTCCCAGGAAAGGACAAACTTAAGTACTGAGGCATTTTAAATATGCTTCTTTCCCAATTTAAGTATTTTTAGTTGGATTTGTCAATGAAGTACATTTGCTACTGACTTTTTATCGCAAGGAAAAAAGTGTGGAACACTATGTTCTTGTCCGTCTTCTGTCATCTTTACGGGATTGCCTCTCAAACCAGAAGGGGCATAATATAAGGCAGAGG